CCGGAGCGGGGCCCGGAGCAGGCAGCAGGCTTGGGAAGTGAGCGGCAGCCGGACCATAAAGGGGCTGTGGATTTGCCTCGCAAAGCACCACAGCACGATAAACGAGACCTGTGCCGGCCTGTCTGGCTGTGGAGCCGTGGGGATTGCGTTCAGCTTTTGCCTGGGCAGGGCAGGGGTGGTCGGAAGGGCTGGCTTTGCTCTCACGCCCAGACCCATCTCGCTGTCCCCTTGCCAGGACTGGGAGGCGGCGGGTGGCGTGGCACGGCGTGATCTTGGCCTCTGCCTTCTGACCGTCTCGCCCCATTTCTAGGTGAACAGCACAAAAGTTTGTACTGATCCCCTCGACGATCTGTCGCAGCTCCGGGACTGCAGCGTCTTCATCAGGATCATCAACAAAATGTGAGTAGGGGGAGCCGGGGTGCGCTCTCCAAACCGCCCGGCTGGCTGGAAGGCGGCAGCGAGCACGTGCTGGGGCTGCCTCCTCCTCAGCCCCCAGGAGCCTCCTCCGGCTGCGAGCGTGGTCCCTCTCTGGGCAGGGTGGGAGCAGGAGTCCTGGGATATTCCTCCTCTGGGAGAGCTGGTACTGGATCTCACCTCCTCTGTGCGAGGCTCTGGCAAAGCCCAGCACCTGCGTAAGCAGCGCGTGTCGCTGGGCGCACTTGGAAGCCTGCTGTGATGAAACACGGGGCTCGTGCCTTCGCCTTGTGGCTCCTTCACACATAAACCCACCGTGCGTGGGACCGTGAGCCTCTTGGGCTGCCCTGCGTGGAAGCCCCCATCCGCAGACGACGTACCGCGGCTCTGCCGGCAGCTCGGGCTCGAGGCAACCCTGCTCGAGGTAGCTGGGAGAAGGTCTGCTCCCCTGCCTGCCCCCCAGCCCTGCAGGCAGGGGCTGCCCATCGCGTGGCCGGGGTCTGCCTGCGGAACCTGGGCAGAGCTGCTGGGCCCCGTGGAGCCGCCCAGGTGGGATTTTGGCCGGAGTTTCTGTCATTTGAGGCTTGCTATTGCAGCTGGCTCTGACGTCTGGGCTCGCTCCTGGCAGTGAAGCAGAGCTGAGCGCTGATGCCAGTGGCATGGGGGCTCCTGGAGCTGCATGGGAGATGCTTTATTTCCACAAACGCTGCTCGGGTGAGGAAGCATCCCAGCAAGTTTTCCTGAGCTGCAGCCTCCGGATCCTGAGAAAGCCCTGGGTCTGTAAAACAGCTTAAAGAATGACAGCTCCCACCCCACGAAGTGCTCCTCTTCTCTGGGGATGTCAGGCTGCTTCCGAGTATGATATGGGCAGGACCGAGCTTGTCTGCTCTGTCCCGGGACTCGAGGTGGCCGGGCAGGGCTGGGAGGAATGCCTCTGCCAGGAGCCGCATTCGTTGCCTGTGAGCAAGGGCAATTAAAACCTGCGAGCCCTAATGGGCGTTGGAGCTAGGACCAAGCACGGTCCTCTCTGGCCACACGTTGTTAACAAGCTGGTGAGGCAAATTGGGAGGGCGTGAGGCTGCCGCTCGGTGCCGAGCGCGGCATTGCTTTCAAACCCTTCCGGCGGGAGGCTCTGTGGGAGCTTGTCTGCTATAATTACCTCCCGCGCGGCGTAACGAGAGCCTGCTCGGAGCAGGGATCTGCCTGCCGTGGGTGGGAAGGAAGGAGCTGCCTGCGCCAGGGATATATTTAGTCAGACCTGGTTAATCTCCCGGGTCTGTGCTCCGGCTCAGATTAGCCGGGATCGCCAGCGGCACGTGCTCACTAAACAGGCCTGGCCGGAGCCTGATAAGTGGGGTGGCAGCGGGGTGGACGCTGCGGCAGCCGGCTGAGCTGCGGGGGAGCTCCCTGCGGTACCGGGGGACGGGCTGGGAAATCCGTGAGGATAAGAAAATCCTCGTGCCAGCCCCTTCCTTCCCCGGGCAAAGTCCCTGCTTTCCATGCCTTGGAAGTAACCGAAGGCACCAAAACAGCACCGGTGAAGCGCAGCTGGCACGGTTTTAGGCACACGGTCTCTGAATGGTGG